TATTTTTTCCCCTCATAAAAGTGCCCTGAGACAGATAAAATCAGGTTCTACCCCTCAGAGATTTCTGTGTTTTTTTCCCCCTCATAAAAATGCCCTGAGACAGATAAAATAACTGATAAAATCAGGTTCAAACCCTCAGAGAGAATTTTTTCCCCCTCACAAAATCAGAGAGAAAATCAGGTTCTACCCCTCAGAGATGATTTTTACCCTGACAAAAATGTCTGTACCGTGAAACAGATAAAATAAGGGATGAAATCAGGCTCAAGGCCTCCATAGATGATTTTTGGCCTGATAAAAATACCTCTTCCCTGATAAAATCAGGCTCAACCCCTCAGAGATGATTTTTTTGCCCTGATAACAAGGCCCCGAGACAGATAAAATAACTGATAAGATCAAGCTAAACCCCTCAGATAGGGTTTTTTTTGCCCTAATAAAAATGTCCCAAGGCAGATAAGTGACAAAATCAGGTTCTACCCCTCAGAGATGATTTTTTCCCCTCATAAAAACATCTCTGCCATCAAACAGACAAGGGGTAAAAATCAGGCTCAAGGCCTCCATAGATTATTTTAGCCCTGATAAAAATGGCATGAGACATAGAATAACTGATAAAATCAGGTTAAAGCCCGTCAGAGGTGATTTTTGCCCTGATAAAAACATCTCTGCAATGAAACAGAAAAAATAAGGGATAAAATCAGGGTCGAGGCCTCCACAGTTGATTTTCGACCTGCTAAAAATGCCTCTTCCCCGAGACAGATAAAATAAGGAATAAAATCAGGTTAAATCTCTCAGAGATTATTTTTCCCCTCACAAAAATGCCCTGAGGCAGATAAAATAAATTATAAGAATCAGGCTCGACCCCTCAGAGATTAATTTTTGCCCTGACAAAAACATCTCTTCCCTGAGAGAGAAAATAACTGATACAGTGAGATTTAACCCTTCAGAGATGACTTTTACCCTGATAAAATCACCCTGGGACAGATAAAAATAACTGATAAAAATCAGGCTAAAGCCCCTCGGAGAGAAAATCAGGTTAAACCCCTCGGAGAGGATTTTTGCCCCATGACCTGTCACTTGTTTCTATTCCCAGTTCAGTTTTTTTTCCTCCTTAGCCCCCAGATCTGGCGTTTTCCCATTTAAAACCTCGGCCAAACCTTTCCCAAATATTTCCATACTTCTTATTGTCTTGGCTACAGTGAGCTGGAGTAATTCCAGCCCTGATTCATCCCCGGGGAAAAGTGGTCCAGCAGCAGCAGCAGCAGCACTTGACCTGTGACCTTCTAGTGAGGCAAAGCAGGGGGGAAAAAGGGAAACAGGGAACAGGCTCCGGGGGGGTTTGTGCTCGTCCCCCCAGGATCTCCCGAGGCCAGGGAAGGCTGTTCATACCTCATGTGGGTTTTTAGTGCCGAAGGCTGAGAAAACTTAGCCTCACACTCCGGGCACCCATAAGGCTTGTGGCCCGTGTGCGTCCTTTCATGGAGCCTCAGGGCGGTTCTGGAGCTCAACCCCTTTCCACACTGCTGGCACTGATGGCGCTCCCCACCACCCTCATGAACCTGGAGAATGTGCCTCTTGACGTCCTTCTTCCTCTTGAACTTCTTACCGCAGAGCTCACAGGGGAAGCGGCGCTCGCTGCTGTGGACGTGCCGCTGGTGGCTCCGCAGGTTGCAGCGGTTGGCGAAGGTCTGGCCGCACGTCTCGCACCGGAACACCAGCTCGGCCGCGATGCCGTGGCTGTGCTGGATGTGCTTCAGGAAGCTCTTCTCGTACAGGAACTCCTTCTCGCACGTGCCGCACTTGAAGTTGCTGCCCCGCTTCTTTTTGTCCTCGCCGGCCTTCGGGCGGTTCCCCTCGGGGCTGCCGCCGCGCCCCGCGCCCTCCGGCTTGGCGGCGGCGTCCTCCCCGTGCTCCTCCTCGCCCTCCGGGTCGCACGGCTCCTCATCTTCGGGGTATTTGTCACCCTCAGCGGCCGCCTCCGCGTTCTTCTGCTGCTCCCTCAGCCTCCTGGTGTACTTCTTCTTGGGGATTTCCACGAACACCTTCCTCCCGGCCAGCCTCCCGCTCGCCCTCCGGATTTTGGCGTAAGGGGCCTTCAGCATTTCCTTCTTTTTGTCCATTTTCTCCTTGGATTTGGCAGCCGGCGCCTCCGGGGACGCTCCGTGGCTGGGCCTGGCTACGGGGGAACCCGGAGTTTCCTGCTCGGCTTCCGCCACGGCTTTGGACTCGGGCGGGACGTTGGGGTGGGCAGCGCCTTCCTCCTCGGAGTTCTGCGACTCCGAGAAGTTCTGCAGCTCCAGCAGCACCGACTCCAGCATCTGCTTCTTCAGCTGGAAGCAGGTCTCCGAGAGATCCAAGCACTTGAGCTTCTCGGCTATCTCCAGCATGCGCTGCACCCTGTCCTCCTCCACCTCCACCTTGGCCGTGTAGACGAACTCCAGGAAGGAGGCGAAATCCGCCACCTGCACCTCGTTGAGGAACACGTTGCTCCGGGGCCCGTCCACGGCCTTCTCGTTGAGGAAGACCTCCTTGAAGAACTTGCTGGTGGCCGCCAGCACGGCCTTGTGGGCCACGAACTCGGCGCGGACGCCCTGGTACTCCACGCTCACCGTCACGTCGCACAGGTGGCCCAGCAGGCGCAGCTGGTGCATCTCGTTCAGCAGGTTGATGGGAGAGGACTTGGACTCCAGCAGCACCGGAGCGCTTTCCATCTTTCTTCCCCCTGCAAGAAGCTGTTGAGGATACCCCATGTTAGCCAACGGAACACTCCCGGGGGTTTCCAGCGGCCGAAAGCCGCCCTCCGGGGGTTTTGGGTGTTCCAGTGAGGTTGGGAAAGAGCTCCGGGACTGAGTCCAAACTTGGACTGATCTCCACCAGACCGTGGAGTGAATTTCAGCTTAAATCCCACCTGTAATTTTACCTGGGACCCTCTGGACTATCGGAACCTGGAACAGAGGTGGATCAAGGGAACGTTCTGGTTAAGGCACGTGGAATTAAGGAATGGTTCCTCTCCTCAGCAGGCAATAAAAGGAAGGTAAAATGAAGCAAAGTTAAGCAAAATCAACTGCAATCCTAAAAAACCCACTGCCTTAACAGCATTCCCAGATAAAATTCCAAAGTGCTTCACCGACCCAGGCACGATGGATAATCACATTCACACACTGAAAACCCAAACCTGACAAAAATTCCTCACAATGCTCACTGTCTTAAGAATTCCTCCCTCAAACTGGGCTCCCAGCCCCCACATTTTGAAGGCCTGTTTCCAGCCTTCCCAGGGTGTCCCTGTTCCAGCACTGCTCAGGTTACACTGTGTTTCCCGGGAATGTCTGAAGCTGCTCCAAACTTTGCAAAAGAACTGGTGTCTTTTGGTTTTTTTCCCCCTCAAATGTCTGACACCAGAACAAACCACATTTCTCTGGATTTGAAGAGGCTCTGAGCGACCTGTTGAGTTCAACCCTTTAATTCCTGCTGGAATCTGAGGAATTTCTTTCCCCTTCCCAGGAATTTAAGGACGACCCACCAAATGCCTAAACAACTAATGGCACCAAAATGTCACTTTTTTACCCCAATAAAATGAGTTTTAACTACTCATCGTGTATTTCAAAATTATGCCCCTAATTCCCACTTGAGCACTGTCCATTTGTGGGAATATGTCCCCTTTCCAGAGGCAAAACCAGCTGGAAAGAGACAAAAAGCTCCAGCCAGGAGTCCCTGAAGGGGAATGGGGAGAGGATTCCCAGGGAGCTGCCCCAGCCTGGGGCAGGTGATGGAGTTATGGAGCTGCTGCTCAGGGAGATCCCCCTCAGCTCGTGCTTCCAATCCCTTTTGGAAAGGATCCTGGATCATCGGGGAACCTGGGAGCACATCCCAGCGGAAGCGGGGGAAGAAGGGCAGGAAATGAGGGAGAGGAAGAGGAAGAGGGGCTGGGGGGAAGAATGGAGGGACTTGCGAGGGACTGGAGAGGAAATGAGGGGGAACAGGAGAAGGAGGGGGCAGGAATAGGAGGCGAATAGGGGAAAATAGGGGGAGCGTGGAGGGGAATGGGGGGGTGGAGAAGCGGGAGGGGGCAAGAAGTCGGGTGGGGCCAGCCCCGCACGGCTCCCGCCGTGCCAGCCCCGCACTCACCGTTCCCGGCGTGTTCCCGGTGCGTTCCCGGCCGCTGCTCCCGCTCGGCCCCGGGCGCGGCCGGAAGCGCTGACGCGCCACGGCCCCGCCCGCCCCCAGCGCGGCCGCGGCGCGCGGGAAGTGACGTCACGGGCGCGCCGCCCCCGTCGCTAGGCAACGGGCGCGGCCGCTCTCCCCCGGGCCTTGTGGTTCCCGAATTCGGGCCGTTTCATCCGCGCCAAAGAAAACGAGTTACGCGGCTGGGCGGCACTGGCGGCTTTATTAAAAGAGAAACTGGTGATTTACAGCGGCGGCACCGCGCTGCGCCTGTATAAACACGCATACACACTTCTCCCCGCCCCTCCCCGTTCCCAAGGGGATGCTCTGAGGTGCATCCACGGGTTTGGAAAATAAAACCCGGGACAAATCTAAACGTTTCACTGGAATAAATACCCTCAGCAGGGATTACACCCCCTTCTCCACCTGGAATCCAGCTGCAGCACTGGGGATAACTCCCCTAGTTCTGAGGGATAATTTTCCCCATTCTACACATTTTTGGGGCCAAAACTGACCTTACAAGTACAAGAGAGAGCGGTCGGTGTCCCCGGTGTCCCCAGCACCAGGTGCCACCTGTGCTGCTGTTTTGGCACCTTCTGGTTTATAAAGTTTCCCTTGGTCCATTGACCAAATCTCTGGGGCGGAGCCTCCTCCTGCATGGGCTTCCCCAAAGGTCTCTATTTTGGACCAGTTATGGTCCTTTTTGGTGGTGAGATCGATTAAGAAACTTCTCCAGTGAGCATTCCGGTCATGAATCTGGGGGAAAAAAAAAAAAAAATCAAAAGAGAAGAGGACAGGAGAACAATTATACCTGATTTTTAACTAAAATAATTTCAAATATGTAAAACCATATTCCCGGGGTTCTATAAACCATCATGTTACGAGGATTAAAGGTGAGGATTAAAGGATACTGGGGACTCTGTAGTTAATTCCACAATAAGCACCTAAAATCCCAAGTCCTGCCTCAAATGTTTTAGGCTGGAAAAGACCTCTGAGATCACCCAGTCCAACCTTTGACCGATGACCAAATGCCATGTCCGGTCATTCCCTGAACACCTCCAGGGATGGTGGGTTTTTTTTCCTCTTTTCCTAAGGGCTGGGAGACCCCTGGATTTTGCAGCCAGCAGTGGGAGCTGCTGCGCCGCCGTCGGAGGAAAATTCCACACGCTGAAAACTCAGAAACCTCCGCCCGGCCGGAGCTTATATCCCCTCCCGAGGTGACCCCGAGGGCCGGGAATATCCCGAGGGATTGCCGTACCGCCGCGTGTCTGCGCAGCGTGGACATGTCGGTGAAGGTCCTCTCGCAGGCCCGGCACTTGTAGGGTTTCTCCCCGGTGTGGATGCGCTGGTGCCGCCGCAGGGCGCCCTGCTGGGTGAAGGTCTTCCCACACTGCTCGCAGAAATAGGGGCGGGTCTCTGGGAACAACCAATCCCGGGAGACACGGCGTTAGGAGAGGGGTTCTTTGGCCCCCATCAAAAACAAACAAACAAACAAAAAAAAGGATAAAAGATTTTAAAGCATTGATAAAGGAGGTGTGGCTGCCCCATCCCTGAAAGTGCTCCAGGACAGGCCGGATGGGGCTTGGAGTAACCTGGGATATGGAAGGTGTCGCATCTTTAAGGTCCCTTGCAGCCCAACCCAGTCTGGGATTTTATGCTTCCATGATAAATATTTCTCCACTGCCAAGAAGCCCCAAAATCAGCTCTCTGATCCTGCAAGGAGAACTACAGCCATTCTCTATCCCTGGCACAAACCAGGTCTCAGTTTCCTGGGAAAGCACCACTGATATGACACAAGCTTTTCCTGTGCTCTGTTTAACGAGCCAGGATCAGGATGAGCCCTGCTTCCAGCAGCACGGAGTCCCCATCCCTGGAGGTGTTCAGGGAAGGCCTGGACGTGGCACTCAGTGCTCTGCTCTGGTGGCAAGGTGGTGATCACTCACAGCTTTGGCTCGATGATCCTGGAGGTCTTTTCCAACCTCTGTGATCACCTAATTCAGGGAGCTGTGGAATGAAACAGCCCCATCCAAAAACTGGGAAGCACCCCCGGGAGCCGCGGTTTTGTTTTCCCGGCGCCAAGAGGAGGTTCCATTACCTGCGTGGACGTTGCTGTGCTGGGCCAGGGAGGCCCTGAGGCCGAAGGTTTTCCCACACACCTCACACTTGTAGGGCTTGGCGCCCATGTGGCAGCGCTTGTGGCACTTCAGGTACTCCTTGGTGGCAAAGTGCTTCCCGCACACGTCGCACCTGAACAGGCGCTCTCCTGAGGGAAGAGAGACGGGACACGCGGGATTCTCGCACGGGAATTTTGTACTCTGAAGCTGGTCTTCGAAGCACAGAATCACTGAGGCTGGAAAAGCCCTCCAGGATCATCGAGTCCACCCACCCTGTGCCCCATCCCCACCTTGTCACCCAGCCCAGAGGGCGGAGTGCCACGTCCAGTCGCTCCTTGGACATCTCCAGGGATGGGGACTCCATCCTGTTCCAATGGCTGATCACCCTTTCCATGAAGAAATTCCCTCTGTTGTCCAACCCGGCACAGCTTGAGGCCATTTCCTCTCCTCCTGTCCCTTGTTCCCTGGGAGCAGAGCCCGATCCCCCCCGGTTCCCCCCTCCTGTCAGGGAGTTGTGGAGAGCGAGCAGGTCCCCCCCCGAGCCTCCTTTTCTCCAGGCTAAAAGAGCTTCTATCCCTACTAATTCCATCTTGGTACTTGGAATCTCTTCTGTGAGGTACAAGAAAAAAAAAGGGCATTTTCTTCACATCCCAGCCAGCAGTTCCAAGCAGTGAAAAGGGAAAACCACGGGAGAAACCACATGGAGTATTTAATGCCCACCTGTGTGTGTCCTTTTGTGGCCGGTGAGTTTTCCTTTGTCGGCAAAGGAAGCCCCGCAGTCCTCACAAATATACGGCTTCTCCCCCGTGTGGGACCTGAAGGAGGCAAACCACAAAGAGTTATTAATAAATCAGGTCCTGATCCTGTGGGCCTTCCCAGTCCCTCGTGTCCTGCAGACCTTACCTGGCATGATATCCCCATTTTTAGGACATGAGATTTGGTCCTTACACTGCGCTGACTTCCCTTATTCCAACCCAAACAGGAATTCCAAGCAAAATCATTCCTAATTTCAAGCTGTCAAGCAAGAGGCTTATAACTTATCTGCTCTGCTCTCTTTTCAGACAAAGATGGGGAATTTTTCATGGGATGATTCGCCCCCTCCTGGGAGAGGACACATCTGACACAGACACCACCAGAGAGCAACTCATCCCGTCAAACTCAGTGAGTGCAGCAGGAGCCCTCAGGAGCAGCACGGATTCTGTGCTGCATAAGGAAATCCCACACTAATTCCTTGCTCCAAGATTGTCTCTGAGGTCCCTGACTCACTCTTCAGCCTACGGTACTTGTCATCAGTGAATCCCGTCGGATTTCAGAGCCTGTCCCAAATGACTGGGAGTTTGGATGGGGCATCCCGTGTTGAAATCCTGACCATGGGCAACGCAACAACCACCCGGAGCCAAAGCCTTTGCGTAAAAGGATTAATCACAGAGCCTAAAATCCAAATGACATCCCGGTGTTCCTGCTCTAAGGAGAACGATTCACAGCCGGGAAGTCGGGAGAGGAAAAAGGTGCTGTGCATGCAGGGAGGGGGAATGTGAGGCCGGAGGCTGACCTGGTGTGGATCTTCAGCTGGGACGGCTGCGCAAACCTGGAGTGACAGACGCCGCACTCGTAGGGCTTCTCCCCGGTGTGGGTCCGCATGTGGAACACCAGCGCCGTGCGGGAGCTGAGGATCTTCCCGCACACGGAGCAGAGCGGCCGCTTGGCGCGGCCCTCGTGCTTCCGCACGGAGTGGGTGCGCACGTCCCGCTGCCGCTTGAAGGTGGCGCTGCAGAGGGGGCAGGAGAAGCGCCTCTCCTCCGTGTGGACGCACGCCCGGTGCTCCTTCCAGCTGGTGTAGCTGGCGAAGCCCTTGCCGCACACGTCGCACCGGTACACCTTGCCGGGCGGGCACTGGTGCACGTCCCGGCAGTGATCCACGTACCGCTTCCGGGACACAAACTGCTCGTGGCACTTCTCGCACCGGATCACGTAGGGGGGGTTCCTGTTGGCCCCGCTTTTGTTGACCTTCTGTAGTTCAGACTCTCCGTCTGATTCGTGTTCTTCGCCGTCCTTCTCGTTTGAGAATCCGCCACCCTCCTCGGAACACACCTCTTTGGCTGTACCTCCTTCGACTTCCGAGCACCCCGCCTCGTAATCTCCCTCCTCCTCGCCCTTCACACTCATCTCACCTTCATCTTCGTCCCCTTCTTCACTCCTTGCTTCAGCTTCCCTGTGTTTCCCATTCTGCTCCTCTTGCTCCCTGCTCCGGTCCGCTTCAGCAGCGGATGAACCCCCGGGTTCTTCCTCACTCCTCGTGGCCTCTGATGTCACATCCCAAGGCTCTCTGTCGGGATCTTTGTCACGGCTCGTGGCGTTTGGTCCAGGTGCAGGTGGGGCCACCATCCAGTAGACAGGCAGGAGCTTCCTCTCTTGCCCAGACTCGTGGATTTTCCTGTTAAAATAAACAAACAACAGAGCACAACTTCGATGTGTTTAAATGATAAACTCAATTAAAATTAATTGTTTAATTGCTTCAATTCAGACATGTGGGCCTTCAAATTGCTTCCTTCAATGTCACTTCCTTCAAATTGCTCTTTGCACCATTTAAGAAATTCACAGTGTATTTGGAAAGCCCAAAAATAGGGAAATATTGGGTAGAGTTGGACCAGGTAATTAAAGGCAATTAAAATGACTCAGTTCATCAAGGATCTGTATTTGTCACCTGACTGGGAACGTAGGATGGACTGTAAATTTTCCTCCAAGGCCACGGTGGATGGGATAAGAAATTACGGACTTAAACCAATGGAAATAAAGATTAAATGCCAATATGGAGACAAAAAATTCTTACTGAAAACCCAGATCTGAGGTTTCCTGGATCTGGTTGCACTAATCCCCTTTAATTCAACGGGAAATTCCCTGTCTGGGAGACCTCAGCTCAGTCATCTGCACCGCAAGCTCAGTGAAGCCAACTAAAAAAAAAATCTGTCCCAATTTCAACACACTCCGCATCAGATCCAAGGAATCCCGGACCTACAGCAGAGAGGGCTTCGGGAATGCCTTTATCCCCCGTAGCCGGAGAGGAAGCACATTCCCGAGGGTGCTGTACCTGACGTGGGTGGTGTACGCGGACCTGTGGGCGAAGCTGGCGGGGCAGCGCTCGCACTTGTAGGGCCTGTCCCCGGTGTGCGTCCGGGTGTGGACGGACAGGCCGCACTTGGAGCCGACCACCTTGTCGCAGTAGGGGCAGGCCCGGCATTCCCGCTTCCCCAGGGGCGCCCTGCGGATCCGCTCGGCCGCGTCCCTGCGGCGCGTGACCCCGGCGTGGCAGGAGAAGCCGCGCTCGCGGTGCTGCCGGAGGTTCCGCGGAGCCGGGAATCGCTGCCCGCACCTCTCGCAGCGGGACCCGAGGGCCAGGCTGGCGTCGTGCCGGAGCTCCACGTGCTCCCGGTACTGCTCCAGGACGCGGAAGGATTCGTCGCGCTTCCCGCGCGCCACCGGCGCTGGGATTTTCGCCGCGTGCCGCGGCAACTTCCTGCGTTCTGTTTTGGTGGAAAACTGGGAAATTAAACTCTTTCCATCTTCCCACTGCTCAGGCAGAGTGTTCCTAATCACAACACAGGCTCCCTGTGCCTCAGTCTGACTCAGGAGGGAGCGACTGTCCTCGTTTTCCAGACTAACGATATCCACACCGAGTGCGTTTGTGGAATCTGGATTGTTACATTTTGGCAGCTTTGCTGTCCTGGGTTTTGGGTCTGGAAAACCAGTGTCCTCCTGCTCCAGACCCGCTGCTTGGCCTCCAATGAGCTCAAGGCCCGCCAGCAACTTCTTATGGTTTTGCCTGTCCCAAAGTTTCCTCTGCACAGGAATTGCCACAACCTGGGAAGAGCTCCTCAGGCCGGGGTTCTCCTCGTGCTGGACGTGAGGCCACTGGGATCCACCATTTTCACCCCTCTGTCCTTTCAGGTGGAGGCTCAAATCCAAGCCCTTCCTGCCCTCTGCTTTCACTTCTTCACAGATGTCGAGCAGATCCTTGCATTCCAGCCTCTCGGCTATTTCCTTCATCCGCTGGAGTTTTCCCGCTTCGATCTCCACTTCCGCGGTGTACACGAACTCCAGGAAGGAGGTGAACTCTTCCGTGTAGATGTCCTGCAGGGTCACCGTGCAAGTCTTGGTGTCCAGCATCTCCTCGTGCAGGAAAAGCCCCTTGAAATAGTTGCTGGAAGCCGCCAGGACAGCTTTGTGAGCCAGGAACTCCTCCTGAATTCCCAGCTGCTGGGTGTGGACCGTCACGTCACAGAGGTGCCCGAACTGGTACAGGGAATGCAGTGCCCTCAGCAGGTTGGGAGCAGCGACCTTGGACTTCATCAGGATTTTCTTCTTCTCCATCCTGCCAGAAGAAACACACAAACGTTTGAACAGGCTCCCTCTTTCCCGTTTTTCCATTCAAGTATGACATCAGTAAGCCCAGCGGAATTCCACACCCTAATTCCTCCTCGTGAGACGCGGTGAAAAACCTCAAGGTTATCCCCGTCGGCACAACCACCGTCAGCAAACACATATGGCTTATTTCAGCCTCAGACTTGGATTTATCCCCGGGGAAAACCCTTTGGAATGAATATTCCGCAGCATGAAAACGTGAGCAACGTGACTGGCCGGGATTAAGGATCAATCATTCCTCACACAAGCGCTTTCCAGCAGCAGAGGTGACAAGGATTTACAGCAGAAACCAGGCCTCTTCAGACCCTGGAAGGCTGAAGACCCATGGAATCTTCAAGCCTCCTTACCTGGCTGATCCACAGCCTCCTCACTCCCCCACTGCCAGCAAGTTCCCAGATGTCTCCTCAGAGAAAACAACAATATTCCTACAGGGAAACTACTTAGGAAAAGGAACTGGAGGAAAAGGCCAAACCAAGCACGGGATGAAACATGGATTCGTAGAACCACCAAGGCTGGAAAAGACCCCCAGGACCACTGAGTCCAACCTTTGACAGGTCACCACCCGTGGCAACTAAACCATCTCCCAGAAGCTGGAAATTGAGGGGAAAGGGGCAAAATAGAGTTGTCTAAATCCTACTGGGAAAGGACTCCTCGTATTCAGACTCCTGCTGTGTCATTCCCACAGCCAGCAGGGATCTTTGCAACGCTCCCAACTCGACACCTTCCAACTATTCCCCACGTGGACACACAGCCCCCACGGCTCCTCCGGCACACTTGGAAGCCGCACAAAGAAGTGCAGATCCGGAGGTTCAGCCCACAAACCCACAAAAGCTCCCACTTAATCTGCTCCCTTAATGTTTTCCAGCAGGATATCCTTGGCTTCTGTGCTGACCCCAGGGCTGTGGAGCTTAAGGAAATCAATGAGCACGGCACGTGCTAATTTCCTCCCGCTCCTCTGTAAGATTCCCATCTGCGATAAGATCCCGATCCGCGCTCCCACGGGAGCTCTGCTAACACCGGGATCTGATACAAAGCCAGATGGGAGAGATACATTCCAAGATCATCTCTTAGTTCATCTGGTTCTGGATTAAACCACCCCGAAAACTGTTGGCTGAAGTGTCTTTCCAATGAAAAAATGCCACAAATTAATCAATTCTCACCATTTTTTCCTTCGGGGAAAAAAAAAAAAAATTGAGACTCAGGGGTTCAGTTCCCATTTGGAAACTTTAGTTTTCCAAAGTGCTGTGTCTCCAAAACACTCACTTCAAGAATTTAAATGACAACAACATTTTTTCCCCGTATTTTATGGATTTGTTTGTAACTTCTTTCCAGCTTTTCTTGCCTGGCAATAAGCAAATAAATACTTTAAAAAAAATGTGCATGCGTGCAAGATTTGCAGAAAACATAATTCACCCAACAGATTAATTGCAAAAGCACTTTAATTTTGCCAGAACTGACGCAAAACTCAAACCACATTTCAATTCAATTACAGTTCCTGATAAGGAACTGGAATAAGTGCAGCTGGAATTGGTACAAGTGGAATTAGTACAACTGTTTCAAAAAATAAAGCCCAACAGTGGCTCCCAAAGTCCAAGAAGAGATTTATATTTGTATATACTTTTTATAATTTTTTTACATGAGGTAATTATCACAGTAAAGGAAGAGTTTTTTATAGGAAAGACAGTAAATATTCCCACAATAAAATCCTGTTATCCACATAAATCCACCCTGCTTTTCCCTCAAGTCTTTCCAATTACATCTTAATTTTCTCTTTAGACAGGGGAAGAGGAAATTTTTTCTTAATTTATTATCTTTCCCAGGAAGGATTCCTTTAAACTCTCAGTAACTGCATGTGCATAAACAACAAAGGGCTCCAACAGGGATCAAAATGAGAATCCCTGGAATTCTGGTAAATAGCCAGAAGAACCTTAAAAATGGATTGTGATAACAAAAATATATTTATAGTAGTGAGATAACAAGGTAACAGGTAAGAAACAGTATCACCAGGAGATAAATAAAAGCTGGAGTTGCTCCACTGTGTTAAACCCCTGGAAAATTCCTCACAGGAATCCCCACAGGATGCAGACACACAAAGTTAGGTAGGTCAGGACACTGAGCAAACAGTAACAGGTTTCCAGCCTGTATGGGGACTTCTACATAAGCTGAGGAACATCCAGAGCAGCTCCACTTATGTTCTGGAGAATTTCCATTTGTGCCCCAGAAAAATCCCCATTTATCTTACAGAGAATTTCCATTTACCCTCCAAAGCATTCGCATTCATTCTCCAGAAAAACCTCCAGTTGCCCCCCAGAAAAATCTCCATTTCTCCTCTAAAAGTATCATCTCCATTTCTCCTCTAAAA